TGTACTGTAGTAGCCACTGACCATCAGCAAGATTAAAAGTTCGTTGGTCACAAAAGTTGAATAAAAAAAATGTGTGCAGTTCACACGCGGTAGAAGTGAAACCTTCAAAGAAAATGTAATATATATATATAAATTTTACGGCTAATGATATCTATACAAATAAATAAAATTGAAGTGTCTGTTTGTAATGTCAAAATTACAGCTTTTTACTAATTGCATATAAAAGTATATACGGTACCTATAACAGAAACACAATTTTTAAAATTTTTGTCTGTCTGTCTGTTTGTTCTGGCTAATCTCCGAAACGGCTGGACCGATTTTGATGGGTAGATATCTCATGTTATAAGGAGTAACTAAGACTACTTATATTTTTGAAAAATAATTAGGGTTCCGCGCAAAATTAAAACACTAAATTACACGCGGGCGAAGTCGCGAGGAACAGCTAGTATTTAATATAATATTTTTTAACCACAAGTGCGGAATCAAATATTTGAGATAAAAGTTTTATTTGTTAGCTAATAAATGTTAGAAATCCTTGTTTAAATTTAGTATAATAAATCAAAAGAATATTTTCTTTCGAGTAAAATTGCTTTGCAATAGCGCCATCTACTTTATGTTATAGTTAAAGTCATATTATATATATACAAAACTGATTGACTCTCAAGGTGGTACGTAAAATAGACGCAGTGGCCTAAACACCTAAAAACACGACTAGTTTAATATAACTTGCAGCCTAAATCCTATAGATGTATATGTTTGTCTCTTTTTAGTGTTGCTTTTTCGTTTCATTGAATTTCAAACCACAAGGATTCTAATATATATTATATTTAAATATTTGCTAAAGAAGCCCTTTCACTTCAAAAAAATATCATTATGTTGTTTAACCTTACACTGCAGAAGAGAACGAAGTCCACCGGTAAATTGATAAACATTCCAGTATTTTATCTGATCTAATTCCATGAAATTCATTGAGTGGTGCTCTTGCAATGGATTGCATGTCATAAATAAGGCATTCTCTCTAGGAATACAGTTTCTATAGCTATTTTATTGGTAATATACCCTTGACATCTAAATAATTAGATGTGTGCTGTAGTTGGCACAATGTAGAGAACATTTATGTATATTCAAGGTCTAAAGATTTATGCAGCGTATCTGCAGTTTGAATTAAAAAAGTGCAAAATTGAAATAAAAACTTTCAACTATTTTATCTCTATTTTGACTTCTTGGAGATTTACAGCAGATGAAAAATTTAACGTAAGCTGGACGCTTTGATGAATATTATGCCATCATTTACTAAAGTTTTAAAACAACATTTGTCGTAAGCAAAAAGATTTAAATATACAGGTATACTAACTACTTAAATGTCTTTGGTCGTAACCGTTGATTGGTTTATGTTAAAAATACTAAACTATACATCAAATATGTACGTGTATTGAATATATTTTTATAAGTTGACAAAATTGACCACAGATAACTTTATATTAGTCAGAGAAGATTGACAATCAATTGTTCAAGGTTGACATCATAGATCATCAAAATTTGCATATTTCTCATTTACACTCCGTATTCCATAAATAACAAAAAATAAAGTAACTTATTGGCAATAAAATAAATAAAATACAGGGAACAGTTAGTAAAGATAATACTTTTCAAACTTAAAAAGTACTTACTTTTTATAGACATCTAATAAAGTATTACATAAACGTTGCAGAGGCAGACTAGATGCGACTTTAGTATCCTACCATCAGTCTCATAGTATTAATTTATTAATTCATCAATAAATCAATAATTTATACATGTATGCCGCTCTCGGCTGTTTTAAAAATCTGCATACAATTGCTTTTATTTAAACCCATTTTAAATCTCATATATTTTTGTATTTCATATATGGTGTGTGAGTGTATTATATAGTTGTTATCATTATAGTTTAGTTTTTATTATTATAAACTATTATTTGTCCAAACATTTTAAAAACAACGGTAGGGATTTCTTTTTGGTTTTTTTATAGAATAAGGTTGATAAGCGAGCACACATCCCACCTGATGGTAAGTGGGTGCTGTGGCCCATAAATATCTACATCTATCCTCGATTAAGAATCAAAATACAGATGCGTTGTCACCCTTGAGGACTAATATGGATTGTCTCGTATCCAGTAAAAGGGTATCGGGTTCTCTACACTCACTATTCGAAACACAGCAGCATTGAGCTGTTATTTTACGCTAGTGTTCAATGGATGGATTTTAGTGCATCTTACTGCATTTAAGTATAAGGTATGTGAGGGTAAGGTGACCAACCTTAAGCTTTGCCGCCCTATAAAACCAAAACTAGCAGGATGACAGTGACAAAACACAAAGTCGTATACTATAACTAGGTAACATATTAAGAAAAAATAGCAAACAAACTTTGGCAATAATTAAGACCACTTCGAAAAATTACGTACACCCTACACTACACAATACTAAAATCGATAAAAATATTTACTATAATGACAATAGTCAAAATGGCGTCGATAAAACAGCGCCTTTTTGACTATTTATTATTTGATTAACTGATGAAGAGCTATCGTATCACAGAGACAGAGCCGTCCATGCAAACAAGGCTGTAGTTTTTGAGTTATAAGAAAGTGACCATATTAACAGGCTGACCATATTGCCCTCACGTACTATAGTGTATTATTTAGTATTATCTAGTAGTAGTAGATATGTCCTGTAAAGTAGATTAAAAAAGTAAAGTTACAGTCTAGACACGTACCACTTGTGGGCACAGGCCTTCTCTAATTTTTGTGAGACTTTTAAGACACATGTGTCCACCACTGCCTTAATGCCTGTTGGCGGACTTCATATGTTTTCTAAATATTTAGCCGTTAGAAAAAATCTTTAATAATAAGGAGCTAACTTAGGGGCTTAGCGCTCACCATAAATATTTGTACGTGAGCAAAGCGGATTCGGTCCCTGCCGAGTGAGTGAAATGGAAGGAAAACACTTTATTTTCTTCTCCCTACTTTACTTAGTAAAATAAAAAAAAACCGGCGGGAAAATTAACACCATTAACACATACAAACGCGCACACCCTTCACCTTATAGTAAGTGGATGCTGGAGCACATAGATACCTACTGTACTCGTAGTCCCCCATTAAGAATCAAAATGAAGATGCGTGATGGCTACGATATAGCGCATCTTTACCCGGAAAAAGTGTCCCCATTTCTCTACACTTACCATACCAAAACACAGCAGCAATAATCTAATATTCCACGCCGGTATTCTGTGAGGGCTGGGTCCATCACCGGTGGAGCCGACCCATTCGTGTCGCAACCATAATATAGCTATAAAAGCTTTTACAACAATTTACTTCGCAAATATCCGCGTTATAAAATAAAATGATGTGTCTTACCTAGTATGAAGAAGCACCTCCCGCCCTCCCTCAATTGCGTGCACTATCCCCGTCACCACTAATCCCAGCACCGCTACTCCCAACACCACTACACTAGGCAAGACACACCACTGACGATAATACGACACGTGTTTCGCCTCTACACGAGGCATCCTCAGGTGATATAGTATATAGTATAGTATATAGTATATAGTATAGTATATAGTATATCACCTGAGAATGCCTCGTGTAGAGGCGAAACACGTGTCGTATTATCGTCAGTGGTGTGTCTTGCCTAGTGTAGTGGTGTTGGGAGTAGCGGTGCTGGGATTAGTGGTGACGGGGATAGTGCACGCAATTGAGGGAGGGCGGGAGGTGCTTCTTCATACTAGGTAAGACACATCATTTTATTTTATAACGCGGATATTTGCGAAGTAAATTGTTGTAAAAGCTTTTATATAATGGATTTCCGCAAAGTAACGCCTGATTCTATTAATTACATAATATAGCTGCAGCGTGGCTTTCTCACGACAAATATATCTCGACAAATAAGATATAAGTACCGACATACAAGAAAATATGAGTACAGACTATGAGGCGAGGTGACGACGCAGGTGGATTGCAGCAGCCACTTACCATCAGGTAGGTGGACAGTAATTTTTTTTGTTTATATAGGATAAGGATGACAAGCGAGCACGCTGCCCACCTGATGTTAAGTGGCTGCTGTGGCCCATAGACATTTACATCTATCCTCGTTTGCGAATCAAAATGCAGATTCGTTGTCAGTCGTGAGGACTAAGATGGAATGCCTCGTTTCCAGTAAAAATGGTCTCCGGTTCTTTAAATGCACCATACGAAACACAGCAGCATTAATATGCTATTTTACGCTGGTATTCTGCATCTGTTCTGCATCTGCATTTGTATCTACCTTGTTTGTGACATCTATAATATAAAAATGAATCGCTGAATGCGTTGCTAAGCGCAAATCTCGAGAGCAGCTGAACCGATTTCGCTAATTCTTTTTTTATATATTCCTTGAAGTACGAAGATGGTTCTTAGGGAGAGAAAAATTTAAAAAGTTGCCTGAAAAAGTCTAAAAACAACACTTTTCTATATTACCATACAAAATATTCGTAATAATACTTAAAAGTCAATTTGAACTTTAATACCACACCATAAAGTTTAAGTGTTAGTGGAGGCGTTCCGGGAAGGCAAAACAATTGAGTGACGTTAGTATCGTATAAATATTAATGTCAACATTTGTCAATATTTATACACACGGGCAGATAGCTGATGTTATAAGGAGTAACTTGGGCTGCTTTTATTTTAGGGTTCCGCGAAAAAAAAAACTCCACGCGGGCGAAGTCGCGGGGAACAGCTAGTGTTTTAATAAATATGGAAATAATATTTCCATCTTTTGGTTTTTAGTGTGCAGCGCATAAATTTTAAGCTATAACCATAGTCTTAATCACTTTGCATTCATGTTACTCACGCATATCAGTATACCGCTAATATGTCTATTATAGTTGACTATTAAAATGCTGTCATACTTCGAATTAATTGATATATATCGTCGTGAGTTGGACCAGATAAATCTCGGGTCCGTTGATTAGCCATCCAGGCTCCTGCCAGTCAGACAGTGTTGCAAGTGTCTTGTGTCGCGTCTTTACATTGCAATGGACAGTTCGAAGTATGTGCGTTTTTATTAATTCGGTTTTTAATATTATTTTGCTACTATGACGTCTCATTGGTAAGTTGTTTTACGACAGTTATATAACACTAATTTTGTAGAAAGCAGATAGCGATTTAATTATTAATTTTATACATTCTCCACTATTTTAGCTTAGGTCTAATATAATCAGATTTAATTATTTAATGCTGTGTGGTATTTTAACCGACTTCAAAAAAGGAGGAGGTACTAAATTCGACTGTATTTTTTTATGTGTGTTAACTTAGAACTTTTTTCTAAGTAAACTGATTTTGATGATTCTTTTTTCATTTGAAAGTTGCTGCTTTTCATGTGCTTCCATATAAGTTTGATCAAAATCTGACTAGTAGTTTTTGAGTTATCCTTAATAATGCGTAATAGACTTCGACTAAATTGATGATGTACTCATTTTATTTATATTGTAGTCGGTTGTACAAAATTTTTATAATGGAATAGAACCATTTTTATTCGGTATAGATTATACAGTGCATAATACTTATTGAAAGTCATTTTTTTTACTTTTACCACTGGTTCACATAAAGACCTCTGTTCTGGGTAGAACCAGCAAGAAACCCAACGGGACTTTGTTTTTAAAACGCGTAACTTAAAATATAATATTTTATACAATTTTTACGAAATCAACAACATGCATCGTAGCGATCACCTCATTCCCAGGGGTTATTATCAGTCATGTATTCTTTAGTAGTATAATAAATAACCTTTACTACAATTTTTGCCTAATAAATAATTTAAACCTTTCGATAGACAAGGTCTGCATATTTTCTGGGACTTGTAAAAGCGTATACATTGCCCCATGAAGGAATTACTGACTCTGTGTATCATATAAAGATATAATGACGTGAGTTTTATTCCAAGTTTTAAACTTATGTTTTCCTAAAATAATATATAGAATTTTTTTTTCAAAATTATTCAACGTAATGAATAATATATTTTTGTTTCGTGTATTTTTAAGCTTAATAAACCTAGCAAGCTAACAGCATAGCAAAGTGGCGAAGCAATCAGCTTTGTAGCGGTTTCTAACGGTTGCCGTTGAGCAATCAGTTTCAAAATAGGAGGTTCAGATGCCTGGGTGATCAGTAATCGATTGCTGAAAACAGAATTTGAAAATTCAAAACCGTTCTCGAGATAATCGTGGGACAGACGGACAGACGGACAGACATCGTGAAATCAATAAGTGACTTCGCAAGCTGCGCCACTTAATAATAATAATATATAAAAAATAAAAATATAAATAATATGCTTTTACGGTCTTTCTTATTACACGGTTGGTTATTCTTGAGATTCTCGGGAGTATCTGTATTTTCTTTTTTTTTTTTTTATATATAGAAATAAGGGCGGTAAGGGTAACAAACACTCACACAGTTCTTCTTGGAGTGAGTGACTATTATTGTCCATAGAGACCTGTATACATCTATCATCGATTAAAAATTAAAATGCAGATGCGTTGTCACCCATGAGGACTAAGTTGGAATGCAACGTTACTTGTAACAAGAGATAAAAATTAAAAATTTTGTACAACCAACTTCAATATAAATTATTAAGGATAACTCAAAAACTACTGGTCAAATACTTGATAAAATTGTATGGGACACCTAGAAACACATAGAAAAAAGTTACGAAGTAACACACATAAAAATACAGTCGAATTGAGTGCCTCCTTCTTTTTTGTAGTCGGTTAAAAAGAGTCTCCAGTTCTCTAAACTCCCCATACGAAACACAATAGAATTAAGATGCTATTTTTCAATCGTTTTCTGTGAGAGCGTGGTCTTTCCCCGGTCAATCCGATTCATTCGAGCTGCAACCATGATACAGTTGCACTGCTCTATCACGTTCAAAACAATGTTTCTTGTAAGATTTACTTATATTTATTGGGCTGGCAGTTTCATAAGCGTTACCATTGCACTGGCTATCTTGCTTACCATTCCGCTGTGGGGAATGGGTTTGCCGTTTAGTACGGATATACTATATCCGCACTAAATTTCTAATGAAGTAAAAATGCCATGTGGTAAGCGAAGGTCACGAGCAAGTACAGCGCTGACGGGCAGCCTGCCATTTCATGGGCGTGTCGTGTGCTAGTCATGCGTTCCTTGCATGGCAACGCAACATCATTGATGACTGCCGTAGTTATTACTAAAAACAAAATGTATATAACGCGAATAAGAAATTTGCGGACTTAACATGGCCTCTAAATATTTCATGGTTGTCAAAGATGCAGGTTCCTCGTGTTCTCCTTCGCCGCCGAGCACGTGGTAAATAAGCACTTAAAACTGCAATTAATTCTAGTAGTGCCAGCGGGGATCAAACTAAGTTTATCTACTCTATTATGAACTTTGCGGTCAGCGCTTAGCACGCATAATTTTGGTACACTGCTCTAAAATAATACGGAATGATCTATGATATATACTACTACTAGCTGGCCAGGCAGACGTTGTTCTGCCTTTTCCGAACAACCATTTGCTTTCCCAAAAAACTTCTGAAATTAGAAATAAAAAAATTGAGGGTCACTTATCGGGATAAAAACTATCCTATCTCTCAAGTTGGATCAAACTGCACACAGTGTGCAAAATTTCATTGAAATAAGTTCAGTAGTTAAGGAGTTCATCGCGGACAAACAATGTGACACGTAATTTTTATATATAAAGATAACTATGTTATAACTACTATTATATATACTACGATACTTATATATTTCAGACGATAGAGTCTGGTTTATTATTTATCAAAGTGAACTACATACACGTGACGTTTGAGGTAAAGGGGACGTAGTTGGGCGAAACAGTGTGTGTCTTAAATATTTTTTGTGTAACTACTTCCAGGTGTTAATGTCGATAAGAAAGAGTAATATCATTCCACGGGTCTTGACTTGCGCACAAAGCTGCTTAATTAGCATAATTAAAGATCAAGTGGTTTAGGCACGTAGAAAGAATAAATGAGGAAAGAGTGACAAAGCAAATTAATGCCGTACACTTCCTCAGCATTTTTTTAATGGCATTAAGTCGGTAAGGGACACCTTAGATGAAAGTTTATCGACCAAATTACAACAGTTAGACAATAAAGTCAAGAGTACACTTAACTGACGCGAACATTCGAGGAGATATAATATGAATGTGAAAGAAGGGAGAGAGATGTGTCAGGATCGTGCCAAATGAAAGTCCGTAGGTAATCACTGCCTACCCCTCTACGTGAGAGTTTATGTTTTTGTGTTTAGTTTAATTAATGAATATTTCTGTCTTAAAATACTTCATCCGAAAAACCTGTTATTATATTTAAGAAAATAAATATTCCGCAAAATTAATGGCCGAAATGCGGTTCAACATTTAAATTTGAATTTGCTTTTATTGCGTACATTGGGCTTAGGTTTCACTGGCCTATCCCTTTTCAGTTGCTTGAACCTCCTGGCAACAAGCGGTAAAATTAATTTTTTTTAACCGGCTTCAGAAAAAGAGGAGGTACTCTTTATAACTGTATTTTTTATGTGTTACCTCAGAACTTTTTTCTAGGTAGACCGATTTTGATGATTATTTTTTTGGTCTCGTATACATTTCATCTAGATCTCACCGGTAGTTTTTGAGTTATCCTTAATAATACATATTTAATTGATTTCGACTGCATTGATGATGTTCTCATTTTATTTATATTGAAGTCGGTTGTACAAATTTTTTAATTTTACACTGTCGAATTGAGAACCACCTCCTTTTTTTGAAATCGGTTGTAGGACCGTGGATACGCCAATGCTCCTAAGCTTACTTTACATTACTTATTAATATTAAAAATTTGGAAAATATAAACAAAAAAGTTCGTGTTTACATTTTCGTTTTTTAACGTCTATACAAGTGTCATTGAAGCATACAATAAATCTTTCATCACTCAAACGCCAAAAAGTATTCTCTCCGGTTTTGTTTCGCGGTCGAAATTGATTCGCTTTACAAGCAGTAATTTGGTTCAATAACAATATTGCTCGTAAACTTATTTGAGTTTAAAAAGGCATAAATCCCGCTTTATTTTTTAAGCATAATTCACTTTTATTACTGGTATAACAAAAAGTGGTTTCTAACCGTTGTTTGGTTTCCATAAAGTTTTATTAAATCGTTATAAATTTAATTATAAACTAAATATACGTGGTAGAGCCATGCTGCAGCTATATAACTGGTATAGTTGTAGCACGAATGGGTCAGCTCGACCGGGGAAGGACCACGCTCTCACAGAATACCAGCGTGAAATAGCAGCTTAACACTGCTGTGTAGAGAACCGGAGACCCTTTTTACTGGAAGAGGCGTTCCAACGCCTCCTCACGGATGACAACGAATCTGCATTTTGATTCGCAAATGAGGATAGATGTAGATGTCTATCGGTCACAGTAACCACTTACCATCAGGTGGACTGTGTGCTCGTTTGTCACCCTATCCTATAAAAAAATTGGTTATAACGGTATTTAAGATCTACGATTTACATATGTGGTAGAGCCACACTGCAACTATATAATAAAGTAATCGAGCTTGTAGCACGACTGGATCGAAAGGATCCAGCACAGAAACCCAACGTAAAATGCTGCTGTTTTTGTAGTTTTGTACTGCTGTGTCTGTGCTGTATTGGTAACAAGGCATTCTAACTTAGTTTTCAGAAGTCACAACGCATCTACATTTCGGTGTAAAGACACACGGCAAGTATATTATGACTGCAGCACGAATGGGTTGGCTCCACCCGGTAAGGACTACGCTCTCACAAAAAGCAGCTTAATGCTAATGTGTTTCGTGAGTGTAGACTATTCTTACTGGAAACAAGGTATTACATTTTAGTCCTCAGGGGTGACAATGTAACTTTATTTCGTGGTAGAATCAAGCTGCAGGTATATTACGGTTGCAGCATGAATAGGTCGGCTCAACTGTAGAATGACAACCCTCTGACTGAATACCATTGTAATACTGTTGTGTTTCGTACGCTGTGTGTAGAGAACCGGAGACCCTGGATGCATATGTGTGCGTTCAGCTGTGGACTTATACGTGATTTAAAAGAAAGAAAAATGAAAGATGTGTGCCTGTGTATGTATCAGGAATTTGAGCTTATATTCATTTTTACTTGAAATAATACAAACAAAGCGTTTCGTTTATCTTTTTTTGTTGGCTACATTGTCATGTATACAATTCTCAAAAGTAATCAATTGTTGTTCGTTAGTCTCACTAAAACTCGAAACTAGCTCGACCGTTTCAGATGAATTTTGTGTGTGTGTGTGTATGTGTGTGTGTGTGTGTGTGTGTGTGTGTGTGTGTGTGTGTGTGTGTGTGTGTGTGTGTGTGTGTGTGTGTTTGTGTGGGTCCCTGATTGGTTCACAATTGGACTCGGTAGGTGGAGCTGTTGTTGAGGTCCTGAAATTACCTAAAAACGACTAAAAAAAAACTGCGGTTGTCAAATTGCTCATCATCAAAGCTAGTTGATAACAACTAGTGATGGGGTTTCTTTATGATTTTTTCTGTTATTGTTATTATTATATTTAACTGGGTGCTTAACAACATCTCAACTCTAAACAACTCTGACATCGGGACGTCAATCACCTCAGTCCCCAGTGACTATAGGTGCTGGAAAGCACCCGAAACGTCGGGAATTTAAAAATAAGTATAGTTAAACGCGATAGAATCTGTAAAGGTAGCTTTATTCATTAAAATAGAGTTATTATTATCTTAACATTGGATACATGCATTAAAATTATTAATTTTTAATTTTTATTTAATGCTATATAGTGCATATTGGCCAACAGTCAATTAACTGCAGTGCACATGCATTCTGCAACAATGTTGCATATAGGGACAGTACACTTTGTCACCTATCATTTTAAGAATGCCGTTGTTGGGGCTGGCCTGAAGCCTGCGCACTAGAGATACAGCTCTTTTACTCATAGGGGCGTAAAAACAATCTACACGAGCTTGAGCAAACATCGCTGATGCGCTGCAGTGACGGGATAGCCCCATCAGCATCCGGAACAATTTATTATATTAGATCCGAAGGGCTCCACAGGCCTGTTGCGTGTAGTCCCTCCATAGGTACTACTCCATGTATTTATTTATTTATTTATTCTTTTTTGCACCAAATATTTGTACCAAAGGCGAGCTTAATGCTATATGGCATTCTCTACCAACTAACCTTGGGTAGAACAATGTTTGGTAGTAAATTGTATGTCCCCGTGTAATCTTAAACATAGCATCATATTCTAATTAATATTAATAATGAAAAAAGTGTCGAATGGAGCAGTAAATCAAGGAATGTACGCAGTATAAACATAGCTAAAATCTTGTCAAGCCAGAGGTTGTATCTTTGGCGCATCGCCTTGTAAAGGAACGAAAATATCTATACGAAATGCATTTGCGGTGTTACCTACTAAACATATATTTCTATACGCATATTTTAAATAAATTGGTTCCCCAATTGGTGTTTGAAGGTCTTGAAAGTGGGCCGCATACGTTAGCACTGTCTCCCGAAGTTCAATTATTTGTTGACCCATCGTGTATCGACATTTGATGAAAGCAAAGGCAAAACTAGGACAGTGTTTGACTTGCTAGACGATTGATTTGTTCTTGTTTGGGCAATTTTAAATGCCGTTAATGATTAAGAACTTTTTCTTTTTTTTACATATTATAAGCCAGTGCTTGATCACAGTTCCACCTGTTGATAATAAAGCCATTGATGTGAAATCGCACTGTCTTAGCGTAACAAAGGCCTACTCACTCTTGCCTTGCGTGGATAGAGAGGCACTGGGCAAATTATTCCACTCATTTGCTGTACGAATTACAAAAGACGAAGGAAAACGTTTAGCTCGAACATACGGTATATTGACAACAAAGAAGTGAAGGCCCACCGCCCGCCTAGTTGTCCGACAAACAAAGTCCACCTGATGATAAGTGGTTGTTGTGGCCCATAGGCATCTACATCTATCCTCGATTATGGATCAAAATGCAGATGCATTGTCACCCGTGAGGAGTAAGTTGAAAAGCCTCTTTCAGTAAAAAGGGTCTCCGGTTCTCTACACAGCAGTGTTAAGCTGCTATTTCACGCTGGTATTCTGTGAGAGCGTGGTCCTTCCCCGGTCGAGCTGACCCATTCGTGCTACAACTATACCAGTTATATAGCTGCAGCATGGCTCTACCACGTATAATTAGTTTATAGTATAGAATACCTCGTTTCTAGTATAATTTAAAATAAAAAAAATTGTACAACCGACTTCAATATCAATTATTAAGAATAACTCAAAAACTAATGCTCAGAACTTGATGAAATTATGGGTCCACATGTGAAGCACCAGCTTTCAAATAAAAAAAGAATCATCAATATCGGTTCACTCAGTAAAAAGTTATGAGGTAACAAACATAAAAAACATACAGTCGAATTGAAGTCGGTAGAAAAAGGCTTTCCGCTTCTCTACGCTCACCATACGAAACACAGAAGTGTTAAGCTGCTATTTTACGCTGGTATTCTGAGAGAGCGTGGTCCTTCCCCGGTTGAGCCGACCCATTCGTGCTACAACTATACTACTAATATAGCTGCAGCATGGCTATACCACATAAGATTTCATTTGTATGTGTAAAATTTAAAAGTAACTTACCGCGTAGTGGCTGTGTAAGAAAATCCACTACCCCATATCATCCCGTGGGTATCGTAGAAGACGACAGGGGGAAACAAACCAGGAGATGGGGTGCAGTGTATTTCTAATAACTACAATATAATAAAAATATCACAGTTGCCAACTCACCTATCAAACGTGTTAACCATAGCGAATATCCCTCTTATGAGGCATGCTATGGGGGATTCTATGAGCCCTATGCTTAGCAGTGGACTTCTGTTAGGCTGTAGTGAATGAATGTATATTTAATCTTTACCAATTTTGACTTTTACAATTTTAACCATTTTGTTATTAATTTCAGGTATCAGTTGCTAGCATTATTTATAGCAGCATATCCTTTAAGTAATGGAAAAGCTACAGGTAAGTTTAAAATTGAAGTTAGAAATAGATAATTTCCGTCCTATTACAAAACGTGGCTTATATAAGCCTATAGTCTATAGCCTATAGTCTTTGCTTACACAATGGTTTAAGAAGAGTCCTTTTCGTGATCATGAAAGAAGTCTCTGCGTCACAGTCTTCCGAAATTTGACATATCCTGTCAATTCCATACTTTGGAAACTGTTGTGGGACTTTTTGCTTGAAACAGATTATTTTTTCTAGATAAACCTGAATTCATAGACAAGCAACATTGTTTATGTTTCTTTAGAGACGACAGCTTAAGCCAGACATACCTAACCTCACTAGTATCTTTTTTATTTTTATTTATTTATTTACACACACATACAACATACACAATCATTACAGGGTGAGTACCCTAATTCGACAGTGTAGCCAGCGATACAATATGATATGCCATTTTACTGAGCTCACTCAGCGAACATGAAAATAAATCGGTTCGCTCCGACATGGTGTTGATCACAAGCAGCGCGCGCGTGAACGGTGCAGTGCGCGCGTGTGGCACTGCCAGTAACGACGGCCGCCGCCGACGCCCCGCGCTTCCGTCAGGCGCATTCAGTCGCACCATCTCCAACACTCTCGGGCTGTGTATCCTACCCCTGATCACCTTCAACACGTACACAGCGAGAGTGACTTCTCTTCTGACTTCGAGCTTGTAGTACCCTACCATACCGAGTTAAAAAAAAGAGTAGGATACAACAAGGGATATCCCGGGTACACTCCGAATTGCTTTAAGTATAAGAATCTAATAAATTTATTTTGGATCCGCTCTAACATATATTTGAATTTGGCTTCATGAGGAGCCCAAATGACGGCGTTACAGAGCTTCAAATCGAACACATATCTTTAGGTTTTTATCATCATCAGATTAGTCATTTGTTTAATCGTTACCATTATTAATGACAGTTTTTACGCAAAAACACATCTCTTCACCACTTTTACACATCAAAATCTACTTCAAATAATTCTTTGAGCGACTATTATTACACATCAGGAGCAACGATCAGGGTGATATCAAGTTCCCGTCAAAATTACCAAAAGAATGTCGTAGAAAAGAAATAAAATAGTGCGTAGCAAAAAATAGTTAAAGGACGGAACTTTTTGTATAATATTAAAGTGACAAATGAGCCACCTGGATTGATTATTGCAGCCCATGAATTCAAACAAACAACTTCAAACAAAGAAAACTACAGATGTGTGGTCATACCCTGAAGTAGGTGATATGACTCTTAGTCTATTGGTAACTGTACTACTTCTTTTACCTTTCAAATTTAAAATCTGAAAGGTAAAAGAAGTCTTTAGTTAGTCTTTACAGTAGTGGCTGCATCGATGATAGGAGGCAAAATCGGTAAGAAATTGCTACCTTTTCAAATGCACTTTTAAGCAGAAAAGGAACTCTTCCATCTTCGTATGTCCGAATTGTAATTATGCTATTTACATTACAGACAACGTTACAACATTATCGCCTCTCTTGGATCTGTCACCGCTTTCTCCGTGCTCACCGGTTGGACCTGGTGATGTGGAATTTCAAACAGTGGACCTTATAGCGGTTTATCGACTAGATCGGCCAGACACTACTGGAGTCACACTGGTGCAGGGTTCGCAGGATCTCCAGAGAGCTTATAGAATCGGTGATGGAACTAATCTCACTTTACCACCTGAGTAAGCAGTCTTCCTTTTTTATATATTTTACAGTTTGCTTCAACTTTTGTGATACGTACAGCAAAGGAGTAGAATAATTCGCCGGCGTCTGTCTTCCCGTCCGAATACAATCTGGGCGTCTTCAAGGCAAGAGTGAACAGGCTTTTGTCACGCTAAGGCGATTTATCATCTAGGACTTCATCACCACTTACCACCAGGTGGGATCGTGGTCAAGTACTGGCTTATAATCATTAAAATATATGTATCACGTGTCTCAGAAATACACGTCAAGTCGAAAACGGGTAATAGGCCAACTCGTGACAGTTATTAGAAAAATATAAAAAAATTCTGTAAGTTTTTGAGATTTGTTTTTGAATCCTTATAATTTGAAAAGTAAATGACCAATTTTTTTTCTTTTATATTTTTCTAATATTATTGGCCTATTGCCCGTTTCCTGCTTGACGTTGATTTCTGGGACAGCCTGTATATGTTTTTTCAAATGGAAGTGATAAACGAATTTGATTATAACACATGATGCTAAGTTTAAGGTGTACCTACAGTTCGTGAACACCTGCAGCCAGCTTCAAATAAAGAAAGCTAAAGATGCATTATCACCTCTGAGGAATAAGTTCTGATGATCTTAGTTTCTTCTTTGTTTTTTTTTTATTCTATACGGAGCATTCTCGCCGCGGGAACTCACTCGTAAATAGTCGCAGATATATTATACTATTACACGGCTTGGAGTGGAGCTATATGCTTTACTTCTTTACTCTTACAATGGATCCTGGAGTAGAGTTATTAATAAATAAAGTGCACGTCGTTCAGTTGAAGAACTCGACCACGTTTTCGGCCACGACAGAACCGTATGTGTATCGAGTCAAATGCTAAACTATGTCTTACTTCCCAATTGGAAGTTGTAATAATATAATTTCTTTCTCATCTTCGTGTTATATGCCTTTCCTGATAAAATGGGCTATTTTGACAACTTTGGTTCTACTGCGGATATCATCATCACGAAGTCTATTACAGACTGAACATAGCCCTTTCCTTAGCTCGCTGAGTGATCTTAAGCTTTCTCATACCGCCAGCAGTGAAGGACTACGTATCCACTTTGCAACTGCAACTTTTGTTTTCAAGTTTTTAGGAATATGTAATTTTTGATTATTTTTAGTAACTTTCTAAAAAATTATGTTGTTAACGTCATAAAGTCAAGTTTATTGAGACTGCTGTTTTTCCCATAAGATTTACTGAATGAATGGGACCGACAGCATTCCCATATACCCATGCTGCACCTATATTAGTAGTATAGTTGTAACACGAATGGGTCGGCTCGATCGGGGAAGGGCCACGTTTTTACAGAATACCAACGTAAAATGGCAGCTTGACACTGCCGTGTGAAATGGTGAGTGTAGAGAACCGGATACCCATTTTACTGGAAAAGAGGCATTCCATCTTAGTCCTCACGGGGGACCACGCATCTGCCTTTTGATTCTTTATTGAGGATAGATGTAGATGTCCAAGGGTCCAACCACTTATCATCAGGTGGACTGTGTGCTCGTTTGTCACCCTATCCTATAAAAAATTACTCTAAGCACAAGACTTAATAATTTTTTAAAATTGGATGTAGTTAAGTAACGATGACGTCATGATATGTTTTTAAAATTAATTCCAGAAAGGTTTTACCATTTGGTTGGCCTGAGCACTTCAGCGTGATCGGGACATTTAACGCGCACGGATTACAAAGACCTTGGAGTTTGATACGAGCACGATCACGGAGCCTTCTGTTCTCCTTAACATTGTTGCCAAACGTAAAGAAGCTCACGGTGTACGTACAGACGTCTCGTGTTGTCTTTGATTGTCCTGAGGTATGAATTCTTTTTTTTTTCTTGCGTTACAACTTATATACTATGTCCCACTGCTGAGCACAGGCCTCCTCTAATTTACGAGAGGGTTTTACGGCAAGGAAATCTGCGCCGCGTTGCCCCAATGCGTTGGCGAACTTCATGTCTTCGATTTTTTTTTATTATTTCTCAGACTTGCAAGTTTCCTCACGATGTTTTCACTGCGTTGAAACCGCCGAGCACGTGATAAATCAGCATTTAAAATTGCAAGTAACAATTTCATGGGTGCCGGCGGGTATCGAACCCGGGTTGTTCGCGTACTGTTAAATTTACAGCGAGTGCTCAGCGCTCATACACTCTATGCAGGTAATGCGGCCAACCGGATTACGGGCAGCCGTATTCGCCACCGCAACCTGTGGTAGAAGAACCGTTGCGATTTGCGGTCATATCGATTCATTTTAAAAATGCACGTGGAAAAAGTTATTTACACATGTTGCATAAAGAAGAAGAAACAAAGAAGACAGTAATGGGTGTATCCTTATTTACAAACACGAGATGAAAGCAAGTATTTGGAAATATTTTTAGAAGAACTAAAAAATAATTTATCGAAGTATTCTGGCAATTTGGTGTTCCAAATTGCTGGCCGCTTCTGGATTTCGATGATAATTTTTTTGATATCCATCATAAGCGTACCACGTGCACACAATCTCACTAAATGGCGGGCAGTCGCACAGTGCAAATAGCAGTCGTCCGGCTGGGCATCATTCGGGCCGCAGCCGCAGCCCTCCGAGCGACCGGAGTGGTCTGCCTACCACGGCTCTCTTTAACGCATTGATAGTATTTTTTTTTAAATAAAACATATGTTTGCGCAAATGTGAAATATTAAAAATGCTTTTGAATAACCACAAATATTTTTTTTTTCTTCTTTTGAATCTTTATCCCGTTCTGTAGCCCGATGAGCCTCTCCCGTTCCAGGGAAGCTTTGCCTTAATTGTAACGCTAGGTTATTGGACGTAGCTATATAAAAACGTTCCAACCCACAAGTCATTCAAAAATGAGTTGAATATACAGATCTACTTATTTTGACATCTTCATATGACGTAGTTATACAAAAACGTTCAAGATGTCAAAATAAGTAGATCTGTATATTCAACTCATTTTTGAATGACTTGTGGGCTGGAACGTTTTTGTATAACTACGTTCAATTGATGATCGCACCACCAGAAGTTTCACCACCCGATGGTTAGTGGTTACTGTAGTCCATTGACCACTGAAGCCAACTTCAAACAAAGAGGGTTACAGATGCATTATAACCTCTGAGAACTAAGATGGGATGCCTCGTTTCCAGTTAAAAGGGTCTTAGGTTCTGTACACTCACCACGCGAAACACAATAGCAATTAGCTGCCATTTCACCGGTAGAGACCCATTCGGGCTACAACGATAATATTATAGCTGCAGCATAGCTCTAACTCGTACATAAATTAATACCAAGTAATTTGGTGGTAGCAATTAATAAGAGCGTGGTACCTATGCAGATGGATTTCAAGGTAGAAAAATATATCCTAACACCTGGTGATTAGAGACAGAATCTAAACAGTGGTCAAATGGTAGATTCGTTGATAGAAAATTTAAGTTCCTGGTTGTGTACACTTAATGCCTACAACTTTTTATTACAATTGTCTTTTTTTTCAACTGGTATGGCGTTTATTTAAGCATAAATGTTATAGAAATACTAGCTAGTATACGGCGCGTTGCTACGTTGTTTTTGGAAGAGTTAAATATTGTTTCATTAGGTTTGATAATACAATCATCGAAATTTAATGATCTATAACATTCAAATAAATAGTCGTGACGATACGCGCGCCATCTAGTGTAAGTTAATTATACCTATAACCTTCGCGCAAGTGTAAGCAATAATTTGAAAAAGTTTTAGCGCACTCTGATGAACGGTAGGTATGTCAGCGCATAAAATACGAATAAATAAAAATTAATTATATATAAATTAGATATATTGTACTATTTAAGCTACTTAACTCTATTAAAATTAATGTATCTTTATAATATTTATATTTGGCAATACACACATGTTTGTAACGGTTTCAGCTTTTCTCACCTGGATGGCATAAAATACATGCAGCTGTGACTGATGACACTGTGTACGTAGCAATTGATTGCAAAGAGGTAAGTTTCATTAGTGTCGGTAACGGTAACAATTGTCCCTAGAGAGAATTAGATTTTTTAAGGTTGATATAGAATAAAATATGTTTTTGTTCGCCCGACCTGCTATATAATATTTATGATAATAACTAAGATGATGATAAGAATGGCTATTTCTTGTTGTTTGGCTCGTCACAAGCAAAATAGATAAGTGTAACTGTCATGTTGTCTCAATTTAAATTAATGTGAAAATGCTGATCTGGTAAAAGTTTTAATGTAACCGAGCCAAAAATTGACCGTTATTATTGATAACGAAGCATTCCACCTTAACGACAATGCATTTTCATTTCTTAATTAAGGATACATGTAATGGCGACGTAAAAATATCCACTACTCCATATCTTCCTGTAAGTGTCGTAAGAGATGGACAGACGGAAATAAAACAGGATCAGCAGTAGGTATTCGCCCGATAACTATTCAGTAAAATCTCCCCCCCCCCCTCCCCCACGAGATAACCTACAGGGGTAGCTTATGTTCGGCAGTAATGAATGAATGAATAAAATTCGAGGACTCGTGTAAGTTTCTACAGGGGAAGCATTCACGTATTATTAGGTGGATCGTGAGCTGCATTGTAACCCTTTCTCCTCTACTTGTACAGAAAGTATCTAATAAAGGCCTCTTGACCGTTTTTCGGTCACGACAGGTGAGACCTCTGTGCATGACAATATTATAGTGCACTCTCTCTTCCCTCACTCTCACAGTTCGATGGGACGACAATCTGATACGTTCGGAGAGAGATCGGGCGCAGGCTTTTACGTGTGTTCCGAGGCACGGTGATGATACACTGGCAGTATCCTGAATTCGTATTGCACGAATTTATTGACAGAAAAACCCAATAAGTGATAGTGGCGCCACCCGAGGTTCGAATCTGGGACAACATGATCAACTATTGCGCTTCCGACCACGATGCCAACGAGTAGACACATAATTTTCTAATGTTACCAATGATACAATTAAAAAGAAAGAAAGAAGAAACCCTCTTATTTAAAGTTACATAATACACAAGTGTACCACATGCATATATTCTATCATACATACATAAACACTCACGCCTGTCACCCAAAGGGGTAGGCAGAGTCTATGGACTTCCATTTGGCACGATCCTGACACACCTCTCTCGCTTCCTCCACATCCATATACCTACGCATACACGCTCGTCGGTTAAAGGTACTCTTGATTTGGATCATTTTCAATATATCGCCAATTTGGTCGATAAACTTTCGCCTAGGGCGTACCCGACTCTGCATTATATAATAACTTATATCATTAATGCAGTAACAAGTAGCCATCCGACTCTGTATTGTGCCGCAGTGTAATAACCACAGCGCTGATATGTGATATACATATATAACATTGGATCTTCTGCATTTTATTTGATATATTATTTGTTTTACACAAACACAGGTGTTAAATTTTTTATTTATTTTTCTTCAGTTAATGCCAGAAAAAGTGAGAAAACATGACTTCCGTAATGCAACCACCGTGTCGATAGTATCTAATGACGATGGTACCCCGGCTCCGGTAAGATACTGAAATTACTTTGTTTGTATTGCCTACAATTGTTGTACCTACATTTGTAAATAATTACACATAATAATATGTAAGTACCTATATAACAGTTGACCCTGCAGTGGTGGTGTAAGAATATCCTTGCCTGCCTTGGGTGTCGTAAGAGGCGACAGAGGGAAACTGAAACAAGAGATGGGCAACTTTCTTTCAGCGAACAACTTTGAATAATGAAAAAAATATAGGATATAGGAAATTTAGTATTTAAAATTAAGAACCCGACCACGTTTTCGTTTTCATCTATATGTCAAAACGTGAACGGAAATTTTGTAGCCCCTTTTACGCATAATTACGTACGGAGGAGTGTGAGATTTAGCATAACTAATGTTTATATGGAGAAGGAGTGCTGAAATCTAAAATTTATATGCAACTAGTTGGTCCCGGCGCGTTGCAGCCGCCGAAAAAATACTTGTGGAAATATCGTTTTAAATTTGGAAGGGTATTGTTTAACTAGGAATAATACATTATTTGAAATTGAATGATAAATGACTTTCAAATAAATTTATCGGTACGATACGCGCGCCACCTACTGTAAGTTGATTGTACTATGCCTAGAACATTCGCGCAGGTGCAAGTAATAAGTTGACAGTGTTAGCGCAATCTGATGAACGCTATGGCAGCGCATAAAATACGAACGAACAAATATTAGTTTTTATATATTAAATATGTGTTACAAATATGTTAAATTAAAATTAATTGTTTAAGCTCATATTGGAAATGTCACATGGTCATGGGCCTATGGTCAAAATATTCGCAATTATAGCCAAAACAAACACATTACTATTAAATTTTGTGTAGTTTCAAATGTTTCTTTTGTGTGTGTCAAAGTGTTTATTTTATATTGAAATTTATATACTGCTAATATACAACCTTAATAATTGAATGAATTACGGTCGAATTTTAACCCCTAGGCGACATTAAAAAAGGATGTTTACCAGAATGCGACCAAAACAAAAAAAAAGTTGCGATCGTCGTTATTCGGTTGTTGTAATATTATTACCATATTTTTTATGTATTATTTTTTATATTTAATTATTTGTATTATAGATAAAATAACTGGAGTCATGTTGTAAATCATTATTAAATTATAGATTGATCTCCAATGGTTGTCACTAAGCTGCAATCGGTACAATCTTACTAAGGACAGTTGCGAAGAAATTGTAAGTAGTATTGTAATATTTTTGGACTTTTAACCATTCAGGTTTAAGTACAATAACAACTGTGTTATTTAATGTTTTGTTACAGGAATTATCTGAATCGCTGACCGCGACTGCACCTTCACCGGTAAGTTTATAATTGCAATTAGGTAACGTTTTCAACCGACCGACATTGTAGACTACTTTAGCTTAGGTCTAATACAAGGTACTCAATTTCAGTGTATTTTTTTTGTTTATTTTTTATGTTTGTTACCTCATAACTTTTTTCTAGGTGAACCGATTTTGATGATTCTTTTTTATTTGAAAGCTGGTCATGTGGTCCCATATCAGTGAAGGTCTGACCAGTAGTAGTTTCTGAGTTATCCGTAATAATTTATATTGAAGTCGGTTGTACAAAATGTTTATTTTTATAACTTGTATCTTTTCTACTAAATGATAATAATTGTTGAATTTAATTGAAATTATTATGGGTTTAAGTAAATAGTAACTTATTATGGTTTTGTCCGTTTAGTGGCGGTGTAAAAGAATCCACTAACCCATATCCCTCGGGTGTCGTAAGAGGCGATAGAGGCAAACTGAAATAGGAGATGGGCAAAAGTATATTCCTGATAAGATAATAATAAAAAAAATGCGATCACGAGAAAGTCTATGGGGGAGGTTAATGTTCAGTAATCGACTTTTGACAAGTCAAGCCCATCACATGCAGTTTACGTTGACCCATGCTTATATTATAATATGCTATCTATACAAATAAATAAAATTGAAGTGTCTGTTTGTAATGTCAAAATAACCAATTTTTACTAAATGCATATGAACGTATATACGCTACTAATAACAAAAAAAACTTTTAAAATTTTTGTCTGTCTGTTTGTTCCGGCTAATCGCCGATACGGCTGGACCGATTTTGACGGGACTTTCACTTGCAGATAGCTGATGTTATAAAAAGTAACTTAGGATACTATTATTTTAGAAAAAGAATTAGGGTTCGCAAAAGAAATTAAAACCCATAAAATCGTAGTAAATTCCACGGAGGCAAAGTCGCGGGGAACAGCTAGTTTATTAAGAAGTTTCCTTGTTAGAAATACTAACAAGCTTTTAGTCTTTTCAACTCTAGATATATTTTAATTTTTATATCTCGCGTTTTTTTTTTGTAGCTAAGCTAACTAAATGTAAAATGTAATCTAAATTAACTACTTATTATAAATTATTATAGCTCTTTTTGATTGACAAATTTAATTTCTTTCTTTTATTCTTTCTTTCAATACATTGATAGGAAATCTAAGTGTTTAATTTATTTTCAAATTATTGAGCAAAGAAATTATGATAGATATCTATCATTTCATCATGTCACTACTTTAATGGTGGTTTTGTAAAGTTTTAATCAGATGGGTAATAAATTTCATTGCAGTTGATATCTCCCGATTCGTCAACCAATGTATTTCCAATGTCGACACTGGTTTGTAACGCTACTTGTCCTCCGGTAAGTAGGTGTTTGACGTTATCAACTTTAAGTTTTATTAATATTTAAAACTTATTTAAAATTAGGTATTGTAGAACATGAGTCTGATTATCAGCTCCAATTAATAGAATTTAAAAACTTATAATGTAATATGTAATTTAGTTGATCTTGATATTTTTAACGATCTCTTTTCTATTTTTAAAAATCAAATCAAATAAATAATATTTTTCCAACAAAATTACGATCATTCCATGACTTGCTGTTTTCTTACGTTATTTTTTTAATATGTTTTTCAGTTAAATAAGTGATTCTAATTTTGTTTTAATTTTTAAGCTTTAAAGTTAGTTATCCATTGATGTTAAGTTAACCTTTATGCATAATATGTATTAAACATTAAATTAATCAATTATTTATGTGAAAATGTGTGTAGGTACAATATCATGTTGACTTCGTAATAAGTAAATATTATATATTTATTTGGAACACGTACTTAATAATATAGATAAAATAATATGATGCCAATACGTGCTATTTTCAGTAAAAAATGTAAAAGAAATCTTTACTCTCTTACGATTGAAATGGTTGTGAGTGTAGAGAATCGGGAAACCATTTGACTGGTAATGAGGCATTCCATCCAGTCCTTAGCTTTTAGGGGATGACAACATATCTGCCATTTTGATCCTTATCAAGAATTGATACACAAATCTATGAGTGAAAGTATGGATGTCAAAAGAGGCGACAGAGTGAAAAAAGGAGGAGATAGCTTTATTCTAATAACAATTAAAAAAATGCAGTTCCCAACGCGCTTGCCTAGATTGGCAACTATGGCAAATATCCCCCTTATGTGGCATTCTTTGGAGGTCTATGTTCAGAAGTAAACTTTAATAGACTATAATAAATAAAAAAGAAAATGGGCCTAAGAATCAAGTGAACTGTATGCTAGGTTTGCATCATTATTTCATTATTCTTAAAAAATATACCAATTTAAAAAAATAATTTCGAAGCTCTAAAACTAAACAACTCTAAAACATGTTTCAATAGAAATTATTTGCAAACAGTCAACTACGTTTTGTATTGTATTAATTTTTAGGGACCCGGAGGCCCACCAGGTCAAAAAGGAGAACAAGGCTCCAGGGGATATACAGGATTGCCGGTAAATTTTACTTTTTTTTGCTTAAAGTCATTATTAGAGTCTGTACTTTCGTTTTAAGGAACGAAATGTATTTTTTTATTTTATTAAGTTAATTTATATAGAGCATCAGGTTTTTGTACTGCCGAGTAAATAAAACATCTCCCATCGCGCGTCTTCGGGTAATCTTGTCCTAAGGACTCATGCCCACGAGACGGATTTTCGCCGGAGCTAAGCCCAGGGTCAAACCGGGTCTACGTCCGGTCGTCAGTATTGTATGGTATACTATGAAGTCAATCACACGACGGCGGTGCTAGCGTCGGCTCACTGCGTAAATGGTAAAATGCAAGGAGAAAGAAAGAACGTTTAGAGAGACTTTAATACTGATAAAGAAATAAAGTCATATAAATATTATCCTTTATCTTTATTTTTAATTTATTATAGTTCTTTTAATATATACTTATATTTTTTAACATTTTTTCTAGGGAATACGAGGCGTTGAAGGTCCACCTGGCCCTGCTGGAGTAACCGGCCCCAAAGGCGACAAGGGAGAGCCAGGTCCCCCCGGAAATACAGTTAATGTAACTATTTCAAGATATTGATAAATTTATCTTTTAAAGTCATATCAGTAATGCTTCTCTGTTTGTCTTGTATGCTTTCCCAGACCATTCAAATAATTGCAAACTTTTGAAGAAACGTGCGCGCCCTCGCGAATGTTTTATTAACATTAAAGAAATTCAGATATGTCCAATAGTCTATAGAAATTTAAAGTTGGATTGAATTATATTCTTTTTATTAAAAATTTATCAATTATCAAGGGATGCAGGAAAATAATGAATAAAATTATATACAGAAATTGTAAACATTGCTCTTATTGAAAGTATTGCTTACCTTTTTCTATCTCCTTTTTATTTAAGAGCTATTGTTTTAAAGGGAACTTACATTCTTATCTACTACTAAATAAACTAAGTTTTCCGTTGCTCAGTAACTACCTTTGTTAATATCTTTTCTTACGCAAAGATTAAAGATTCTAATAGTACATCGGCGGCCCGTGTTGCTTTATGTTATAAAGATTTATCGGATATGTACTCGTATATTTTCAATATATTTTACTTTAATCATTATTATTATGAAAAACAGTTACTAGAATTAAACGGAATAGCAACTTGACTGTCTGTTCTTCTATTTCGAGATGAGGATTACTGTAATATAAATACTTCAACAGGGAACTATTGGATCAGGCCCACCGGGAGAGCCAGGGCCACGAGGTCCAAAAGGTGAAAAGGGTGATACTGGACAAAAAGGTATACGCTGTTTTATCATGTTATTTACTCGTAGTAGAAAGTCATTCTACAATTTTATATTGCTTAAGCGGTCTCTTCTTTCTACAAGGGATGTAACAGAAAAGGCCTACCGTGCTGCTTCAGTCCGAGTCAACTTCAGCCGTGTGTGCTTCACGTTGTGTTTACCTCCGCGAAGCACAATTTGCTTGTTATTACTATGTCTACACCAGTGCGATTTCAGTTTCGCTTTCATGTTCCTTTTGCGTTTCAACTTTCAGTTCGTCTGGCGTCAAGCCCTGTGCCATAAGACGCATGCAGCTTATCGTCTATACCCGTGCGCTTGTCGCATGCAACTCGTCTATACCTCACGTGCCTCGGTTGGATTTGGCTAGAGATGGACGCGGCACTAGTAGCTATCAGTGCAGCATATTTTGTGTTAAGTGCAGGAAAAAACGCAAGAAACTTTTGTCTTCCGCCATTTTGTTTTCTAAAATGCACGAAATGTTGCATGTGAACCCACCGGTGACGGATCAGCGTTCGCTAGAGCCATGCCCTGTTGTCGAACTAGTTTTAACCCATGCACTATTGCATGCGCTATGGTTTCTCAGGCATGCGTTAGAGGAAGACGTTAGATGAACAGGAAAGCGCACTGGTGTAGACATAGCTATTCAATATTTCAAATTGAAACCATTATTTTCATTAGTGTCTGTGGGAATACGCGGAAGTGAAATTAAATTCGAGTGCTCTTTCTAGTTGTTATGCTACCAGTGTCAATGATCAATATGTGGTGAAGTCATCGATCACTAATAAAAAACTAGATAAACAATCGCATGCAAAAGTTTTCTAAAAACTGTCGGCAATTGTTTTGACGTAATTCTAGTTGAAATAAATATACATTAATGTAAATTCAACCTTAAATGCATTGTCTAAAGTTGTATTCACAAAGCTACGCACAAATTAAAAGCGCACCCAAATATTCGAGTGGGCGCTCATTCGGTAAGGACATTTTTTGTCACTGATTGTGTATCTAGTTTTTTATTTGTCATCGATGTGTTAAGTATATATAACATTATTTTCAGATTTGAGTGTCAACGGTATTGGTACTTTATGTTTAATTCAAGTACAGATTTAACAGTTCATTTGGTGGTGAAGATCTACAGTAACACTTGGACAAATATAAGTCCTTTTTACTGGAAACGAGGCATCCTATCTTAGTCCTCACGGGTGACAACGCATCTGCATTTTGATTCGTCATCGAGGATAGATGTATATGTCTATGGGTCACAGCAACCGCTTACCGTCAGGACTGTGTGCTCGTTCGTCCCCATTATCCGATAAAAAAAGTCATGTTAAAGAAAAAAGTGTAGCGATACATGGACATCCCTGGGGATGGGGGCGGGGGGGGAATGAAATACTTCTATCTTCTATCTATTATACAGTGTTATTATCTATCGTGATAAAGTCACGCTGTTTCTATATTATAGTTGCAGCATTAACGGGTGGGCTAAACAAAGAACCACACACACAAAATACCAGCATAAATTAGTACAGCCTACATTATTTCTAGGAAATGTTTTTTAGTTTTAAAAATCGCGATTAAAAAACAGGGGTTGATCGTAGAAGGGTGAAATTTTGAAGTTCTATGTATTTTTCAATGCTAAATCATAATAAAATAAAAATATTTTTTTATAAAAAAAAAAAGTATTTAGACGTTGGTCACCCGTATCATTTAGGGGTTTGAAAAATAGATGTTGGCCGATTCTCAGACCTACCCGATATGCACACAAAATTTCATACATATCGGTTCAGCCGTTACGGAGGAGTTTGGTAACAAACACCGCGACACGAGAATTTTATGTATTAGATCATGTATACATATAATTATAATTATTTTAATTCTCATACAATGATTTGACAACTTATAGGTGAGCCTGGGGAGGCCGGTCTCGTTGGATTAGCTGGTCTTCCAGGAGAGGCTGGTAAAGATGTAAGTAAATTTATAATTGAAATATAAAAGAAAAAAAAAAATCGAATGTTAAAACCACTGCATGATATTAGCATTAGCATTTAAAAAAGCGTAACCTTTCATAATAACGTTCGGCACCCAAAACGACGATGGTAAGTAAGAGCTATTTTTCAATAATATATTTTATAAGTGATTCACATTTCTGGTTTCATAATTTCTAGTAAAGCAAAATTTACTAAAAGTTTCTTCAGCTCTATGTTTTTTGTGTGTAAGCGATATCTTACTCAATGGCTTTGATCATTCTTTTTTTTTTAATAAATAGGCCATAACTTGCACAGGATAAATATATAGATAAAATTGTAAATAACTTCTCAGAAAAATTTCTGATTGTTACTTCGAGCTTGTGATATTAAAAAGTCCTTTTAAAAGTGTCGAAAAATAAAACCGTGTAATAAAAAGTGAAAACTGACTTCAAAAACTATAAACAAGAACATAATTTGCACATTAAATGTTTTAAAAGGTGTATTAGAAAACACTTTTTTGTGGTTATTCTTAAAAACAAAATTAAATATAACGATCTAGGCCAAAACCCTGAAGCCGGTGCCAGATACAGCAATGAAACTTCACCAACAGATAAAAAGCAATATAGGCTATACTGTTTTCGAAAAAAATTACAAGGTATTTTTTGGGAAATCTAAAAACTGATGAAGTAATGAGGCGGGAGTAATGGGCATCCACGACTTTTTCTGCCACCAGGGCGGCGCCACTTAAAAGTAAGGTGTAATATTTGACAGATTTCATAGCGGGGAAGTTAATTTGTTCGGAAAATCTAAATGTAATGTTTCTTTCTGTACCATTAGCTATATTTTAAATTAATAAGATTAAAAATAAATCATCCAAACCACAGAGATATTCACAAAAAATATAAAAATTAAAAAAGTTAAAAATGTGCAAAAAATTAAAGAGCAACACTGGGACATTGTTTTGTGTATTACATAAACATACATAAACATAAACACTCACGCCTGTCACCCAGAGGGGTAGGCAGAGATTATGGACTTCCATTTGGCACGATCCTGACACACCTCTCTCGCTTCCTCCACATCCATATACCTACGCATACACGCTCGTCGGTTAAAGGTACTCTTGATTTGGCCCATTTTTAATATATCGCCAATTTGGTCGATAAACTTTCGCCTAGGGCGACCCTTCCCGACTATGCCGTTCACCTCTGCAACATAAATTTGCTTTGTCACTCTTTCCTCATTCATTCTTTCTACATGGCCAAACCACCGAAGCATTCCTTTCTTAATCCTGGTCACAATATCATCTTGCAAACCACACTCTTCTCTTATTAAACAATTTCTCACTCTGTCATTCAGCTTCATCCCTAACATACTCCTTAATGACCGCATTTCTACAGCATTTATTCTACTCTCATGCTTCTTCTGCCACACCCAACTTTCACTACCATACATTAAAGTAGGTACTAACACAGCATTGTGAATTGCCATACGTGCCTTTTTGGACACATTCTGACTTTTCACAATAGAGTGTAGAGCCCCATTGACTCTATTTCCTGCATTCACTCGTCGTTCTATATCCTTATCATATCTACCATCCCTGCTAAACACACATCCCAAATATACAAACTCATCTACTTGCTCTACCAACTCCCCTTCTATTCTTATTTCACATATCGTTTTACTTTCTTCTCTTTCAAAAACCATAACTTTCGTCTTACTTGCGTTCACTTTCATTCCCTTTTCTTTTAATGTCCTGTTCATTAATGTAACCATCATTTGCAACTCGGCTGCCGACGACGCAAGTATGACTTGATCATCGGCGTACAAAAGGCATTTGACGGTTAACTCACCCATTCTTAACCCGCATTCTTCTACTTTCAAATTTTCCAAACAACTGTCCATAAATAGGTTGAACAACCACGGGGAAGCCACACAGCCCTGTCTGACACCTTTATGGATGTCAAACCAGTCCGAGTAGGCCCCGTTGATCCTGACACAAGCACTAGAGTCCCTATATAGAGACTTCAATGCCTGTATCAGACCAGCGCTCAACCCAAATGAGTTCAGTGTTTGCCATAACACATCCCTGTCTACTCTGTCATAAGCCTTCTCCAAGTCCACGAACGCACAAAAAACTTTTTGGTTTTTGGCCAAAAACTTCTCGGCGATCATGCGCATGGAAAAGACCTGATCCGTACATCCCATTCCCTTTCTAAATCCCGCTTGCACATCCCAAATTTTTCCGTCAGTTTCTTTCATAACTCTTTCAATTAGTACCTTAGCATACAGTTTTCCCACAATGCTAAGAAGGCTGATACCACGGTAGTTTTTACAGTCCTGCTGTGATCCTTTTCCCTTATATATTGGGACTATCACGGCTTTGCACCAGTCTCCCGGTACCCGCTTAAGTTCCCAACATAAATTAAACAAGGTGTACAGCAGGTCTGCCACCACTCCTTCTCCAGCCCTTAGCATTTCGAGAGATACTCTATCATAACCGGCTGCCTTACCTGCTTTCATACTTTTCATTGCTTTCATTATTTCATCTATACTTATATCTCTATCTATTTCCTCTTCTTTCGGAATTTCTATTTCATTTAATTCAAGCGTCTTGTATATTTGTGTATTAATATATTAATATAATACTATAGAAACTGATAAACTTTTATTAAAAACCAACTTCTCAATTAAATTACATTGTGTAACAAACAACCTCAGTGTCAACTAGCGACATCTGGTGAGCAGAAAATTATTAACCCTCATTAGTGTGTTGATGATTAGCTACATGGTAGCCCGCGAGATTCAAATTTTCTTACGTTTTTTGCAATTTGCAGGCCAGTGTCAGGTTATATGTTTAACAAAATATGATTCGCGGTCGTAGCGAGTATACGTTTACAGAATTATAATCATTATAACCGTCAATACAACAAATTAAAGTCAATAAAACAAAAAAAAATGAATTTCGCGGGCCACCCTGGAGCTTTCACAAGTCTAAATGACACCACATGGGTCGCTAGTAGTGTAATAAATATTTTCGTTAGTACATATAAGCTATCCGAAATAATGCTACGATTAAACAAACAAAACGTTATACGTGTACGATGTTCTTACACTATTTACATATTATATACATAATATCTACGACGATATGGGGTAGTAGATATTCATGGGTGTCGTCAGAGACGACGGAAAGAAACAAATGAGTAGATGGGCAGCAGCGTCTTCCTAATAATGTCTTAAAACAATGAAAATTGCGCTTGCTAAATCTGCCAACGGTGGTAAAAATGGCATAAACCCCAGTTCAGCAAAGGATTTTTAATAGGCTGTAAAAGTAAACAGATAATAAGTTACAAGTATTTTAGATCTAGGTTTTTTAAATATAATAAAACTAATTAGAGTCGTGACTTGTGACCTAATAAGGCGGGATGATTTTATTTCTTGAAATTTCAGTAAGTAGGTAATAGGTAATTTTTATGAGCATAAATTAAAAAGCTTACAAATACTATAAATTACATTAATTGTATTGTATTATTGACAGGGTTATCCTGGACCACCGGGGCCAGTCGGACCTCGTGGTGAACCTGGAATTCAAGGCCCACCTGGTTCCCCTGCCAATATTAATGCTTCGATTATATATGGTAAGTAAAGTATCCACGTACCAGATGACCTGCTACAAATTTCCCTTGCTTGGAGGAACATTGCGACGTGTTGATTTTTTAACTTTTAACAATTCATGCAAGTTTCAGTTGTAAAATATTGTAAATATGTGTGTATGTATGTTACCGTACTTTTTACTGGAAATGATGCATTCCATTTTAGTCCTCACGGGTTACAACGTATCTGAATTTTGATACGTAATCGAGGATAGATGTAGATGTCTATAGGCCATAACAATCACTTACCATCAGGTAGACTGTGTACTCCGTATCCCATGAAAAGAAAATACATCACTTATAAAAATAAAACGTTTAACTTTTAGGTGCTAAGGGCGATAGAGGCTTTCCTGGCAGGCCGGGTCGAGATGGTGAGATCGGGCCTAGAGGTCCGCCGGGCTTAAATGGTGTATCAGTAAGTCTGTTTTGTCATAATTTTTGACTTCTTGAGACTAGTACTGAGTGACTGATATTTGTATTTCTGTATTAGTAGAAGTGTTTAATCAGAAATGTTTCATTCGGTTTTGGCTTATCACCATAAGTGAGACTTCTACACAGAAGAACCAATATTATATATAAAATATAATTCAATCAATGTAGGTAATTGTGCTACGAGTAGCTAGCCGATCATTAGTGCAGAAGCTATTGTTTCTTTACATCCGTATTGTCCAAGCCGTTAATTTATTAATAGTAGGATAATACGAAGAGTACATATCTACATCAGTCACTCAGTGTTGTCGTTTAGGTGTTTATGTGACCATAAAAATACGTTTTTTAAATATAATTAAGTTTTCAGAGCGAAATATTATACCTAGATGACATTTACTAACTACTATTTCATTACTATAGTTAGATATTGTTAAAAAGGTTTATGTACATACGATCTAGATATTGTCTTGTTCCAGGGTCCACCGGGTCCACAAGGTCCACCAGGACTGCCAGGTCTACCTGGAGATAGAGGTCTACCGGGATTACAGGGAAATACAGGAGAATTAGGTCCCGCGGGACCGCCGGTGAGTTTCTGAAATAATTTAGAAGCAAAAACAATCACGGACTTAGTCATAAAAATTTTAGGTCGCAGCCGGCACTAATGGAATTGTTAATTATGATTTTAAGTGCAGCTTTACCACGTGCTCGGCGGTGAAGAAAAACATCGCGAGGAAACCTGCATGTCGGAGAAATAAAGAAAAATCGAAGTCATGTGAAGTCCGCATCACACATTGGTGAAGCGCGGCGGATCCTTGCCCTAACACCCTCTGTTCTGAGACTGAAGTCTTAATTATTTGTATACCTGTCCTTTTCTAATGATATTTAGCGAAAAGACAAAGAGCTACATTATGAGTAAAGAAAAATTACAGCCTATATTATATATCACAGTTGGGCCTCTCATTTATTAGACTGCGGTGGCTGACCGTTAAGTCAACGGTCAGCACGTGCCGTATTGTCGTCAGTGGTGTGTCTTTCCTAGTGTAGTGGTGTTGGGAGTAGTGGTGCTGGGAGGTGCTCTTGATACCAGGTAAGACACATCATTTTATTTTATAGAGCGGATGTTTGCGAAGTAATTTTTTTATAAGCTTTAATATAACGGATTTCCGCAAAGTAACGCCTGATTCTATTAATTATGTTTAATTTTAAATTATTTAAGAATATTACTACTGCTGTTTATATAACTGGAATTACTTTAGCTATTTTCAAACGTAAATCTATACAAATAAATAAAATTCAAGTGTCTGTTTGTAATGTCAAAATTACAGTTTTTTACTAATTGCATATGAAAGTATATACGGTACTTATAACAAAAACAATATTTTTAAACTTTTTGTCTGTCTGTCTGTCTGTTTGTTCCGGCTAATCTCCGAAACGGCTGGACCGATTTTGACGGAACTTTCACTGGCAGGTAGCTGATTTCATAAGGAGTAACTTAGGCTACTTTTATTTTAGAAAAAGAATTAGGGTTCCGCGCAAAAACATAAAAACCCTAACACGTGACGCGGGGAACAGCTAGTATGAAATATATTTTAATTTTTGATGACTTTTATCTACAATTTAAAATTGCAAGCAGTGATTGTGCTACCTTTTTTTAAATAAAATAAGGGTGACAAACGAGGACACAGTCCACCTGATGGTAAGTGGTTGCTTTGACCTATATACATATACATCTATCTTCGATTACGAATCAAAATGCAGATGCGTTGTTACCCGTGAGGACTAAGATAGAATGCCTCGTTTCCTGTAAAAAAGTGTCTCCGGTCCTCTACACTCATCATACGAAACACAACAGCGTTATGTTGCTATTTTACGCTGGTATTCTGTGAGAGCGTTGTCCTTCCCCGGTCGAGCCGACCCATTCGTGCTACAACTATACTACTAATATAGCTGCAGCATGGCTTTACCACGTAAAACTCTACCAGTTATCGTTCGGAACCTTATTAAAAATAGTGAATAATTCAACTTATTGCGGCCGTGCTGTAAGAAGCGACATAGGGAAATGAAGCAGGACATGGGCATCATCTTGATAACAACTCTAAATAATAAAAAACTGTGATTAGCAACCCGCTTACTATGGCAAATATATGCTCTATGAAGCAATCGCTGAGGAAGAACTATGTTCAGCTATGGACTCTTGATAGGCTACGATGAATATAGACGTAGTGTAAAAACGAGAAGATATTAGCTTCTTTATAAACAGCTGTGGTAATGAAAATCATATTTATCCAGGGCCCTGAAGGCCCACGGGGCTTACCAGGCCTACCTGGACCTCCGGGTGCGGTGGTCGTCACACCCGAACATGCCGCTATTCCGGGACCGCCTGGTCCGCCTGGGGAAAGAGGACAAGTAAGTAATAACTATTTTAAAGGTTGTTATTCATGGTTTAGTAATTTGAATTTAGTCGAAAGTCTCGTCTCAGGGTACCTTGTTTAGAGCCGGGACAGCATCAGAGGCAGCTGAACTGAGTAAGTGACGCAAATATGACTCTCTGAGAGATGACTATATATTTGTGCGATTTGCTGTAGAGACTGGATTGGGGTCCAAGTGCGGTGAAACTTTTAAAAGAACTCTATCCGCGCCTGTTCGTCGCTGCTGGTGATAAGAGGGCTGATTCTTTTCTCGCTCAAAGGCCATTCAGCGAGGAAACGCAGCCAGCGTTTTTGCCACGTTACCTCGGGTAGTAGGACTGTATAATAAATAATTTACAATTTTATTTATATACATTAACAAATTTAAAAATATACAATATTAAAACTATAATAATAATTAATACCGCGGGGAGTGGGACTATATGATAATTAAGTTTCTAGTTTTAGTTTTTTTTTTAATCAGTTTTTTAATAAAGTTATTGTTACGTATTGTATTTAAATGTGGTTTTTGTGGTTCACAACAGTAATTGACTGGCGGATTCAAGGCCACGATTTTTTGAATTCGTGGTCCGTACCCTAACATTACTGCTGCTACTGCGGCTATTGTCGCTTATATTCTACTGTAGCTCTGCATTCTCCAATCGACCAGAGCTGATGATGTTGATGATGAATCTCTCTTTGCTTGTACTAGTAATACTACGTAATACTACCTGGCCCGGAACACGTTGTTCTACTCTTTTCAGTTTTTTTAGGTGGCCTACCATACCTAAATTCTTAAATCCTTTTATGCCTTGCACTCCGTCTGAATAGGCTGTGGTGCCTCTTACCTATTTCTGCCCCCAAATAGCAATGCATGCACTGCTGTGTTAAGCCGCGTATCCACCAAAAATGTTGACAACAATTATGTTTCCAACTGTTTCCAACAAGCGTCTCCACCGAGGGAACAAATGTTGGCAACAAGCTTATTCCTTTCATGTTGCCGCCGAAAATGGAAACAAGTTTTGTTGGCAACTGTTGTGTTGGTAACAAAACTTTGGTGGAGACGCGGCTTTACAGTCCCAAAGGCATACGTAGCCGTTATAATTACAGGATGCGAGACATTCCATCTTAGTCTGCAAAGGTACAACAACGCATCGCCTTCTTTGTTTGAAGTTGACTTCAAGTGTCTTTTCTGCCGACTTCCAAAAAGGAGACGGTACTCAATTCGACTATATGTTTTTTTTATGTGTGTTACCTCATAACTTTTTACTGGTTGAACCGATTTCGATGATTCTTTTTTTATTTGAAAGCTGGTGCTTTACATGTGGTCCCATATAAATTTGATCAAAGTCTGACTAATACTTTTTGAGTTATTCTTAATAATTTATATTGACGACGGTTGTACAAAATTTTTAATTTTAAATTATTGTAGAAGAGGTGCAAATTAGCATTTGCAAATGAGCATGCAGCTCACGTGATGGTAAGTATGTCTATCGATTACTAAGTATGTCAAACTACTAGACTACCGACTTTTTACGGCGTAAATATAAAATTTAGTAATATATATGAACTGCAGCGCCACCTAGCGGGTCCAAATTTTATGATTTTCATTGTGGCGTTAAACCGCCGTAAAATGTGAGTATAAGTCATGTTGATCCATAAATATGAAATTTGTTAATCACTTGGCTCCAGTGCCACCTACAGGATCTTTTAAATTCTTTCGGAAATTTCAAAGCAATGAGAGAAAAAGTTTCAGTTTTAAGATTTTGTACAAATGAACACACATGAAGATTTACATTTTTATTTATATAACTTTATGAATATGGCCACAGAATAAATAATCTATATACCAAGACAGTGTTAATAAATTATCGAGGTAAAGTACAACGTAATACGTTATTTCAATTTTCAAGTGCAATCCTCGGTAGTATAGTGGTCAGTATCCCCGCCTGTCACGCGGGAGACCGGGGTTCGATTCCCCGCCGTGGAGAACTTTTGAAATTTTTTAAACTCTCATTATATTTATATTTTTTAAAGAAAGAAGAACTGGTTTTTCAGATTTTTTTTTAAATCGTTGAATCGTAGCTTTCGTTAAGTGGCCATCCGGGCGGCACGACATAAGAATAGGATTTAAGTAAAGCAAATCTATTGGTGTCGGACTATGCCTGAACGACCGAGTTGCATAACTAAGACAACTGCAGCTCGGATATATACAGGGTTATTTTTCAAAGAGTAGCCAAATTTTAAACTTAAGTTTAAATATATAAATAAATATACCTTTTTACCCGCAGCTTCGCTCGCGTGGGCTCAATTTAGGAACATCATTAAATGCTGTTCCGTGCGAGATTTAGCAATGATATACAGTTATTGCAGTCTTTGAAAATACGAGTAAATAAGGTTTCTACTTTCATTTGAAATGATCCCAAATTGAATGTGATTTATGGGCAACAACGTTTTTGTCTAACGATCGACCTTTACGAATGTGTGCGTGCGCAGTAAATCAGTTAAAATAATGCATTACCACGCATTTCGAATTTAAAAGATAATATGGACAGATGTTTGAGTTTTTTTTAATAAATTTTTGTTCAAATTTGCAAATTTGGCCGGTTATCGCAATAACCCTGTATATTGAAATCATACTATTAAATATTGATGAATTATAAATATTCCGTATTCCCCTGGTGTTGCAGTTGTTCATGGGCGGCGGTAGTCACTTACCATCAGGTGAGCCGCATGCTCGTTTGCCCCTATAAAAGATATATAAAAGAAAAATTCCCCTGTTTCCTTCTCCGACAGGATCGATTTTAATTTTATCTACAAGAGCATTATTAGAAGGGTTGTGGTTGCCTGTATGGTTTTCTTTTACGAGTATATTTTATGTTCGTTAAATTTATTTCCTAGATGTCGGCGTTGTAACGGGACAGTCTTAGTATTTTAGGAAGGTTAGAAGTTCTTAAAATAATTAATTTAGGGGAAAAAAAACAACATAGGAACTTGAAAGTTGTATATTATATAGATTGTATCGTAGAAAAACATTTGCTATAGTGTCCTTATGCAAGGAAAAAACAGAGGAGCACTTTTGCATGGGTCCTCATAGGTCACGTGACTTAAAGTTGATTGCATTAATTTGTATTATTTTCTATTAGCGTTAACAAAAACAAAAAGTCAACAACTAAAAATTATGAAGAGTAATAAAAAAAAATATCAATTGGTTTTTCATGTAATTTTACAATTAAAAATAGTTTTTCTAAAATGTAAATTCAAACGCGAGTGACGTCATTATATCATGTTTACGTTGTCAAAATCAAAAAAATTGTCATTGCATAATACAGGTTATACCTATATATTTTGCTATGACACATGGTCACTGACCTCTATATATACAAGTACGCTTACAATGCTGAGGTTTTTATTTTGTTTGTTATGTTTTAGAAAGGTGATGCTGGGTTACCTGGTATGCCGGGAAGGGACGGTCAAGATGGGGTACCAGGATCGCCTGGACAACGAGGCCCACCTGGTCTACCTGCGTCTAGCAGTGTGATTGCTCAGGTAATTGAAAGTAAACTTTTTGTTTTTCTTGGAAGAGTGTGAAATCTTAAGATATATGCTTTTATAAGAATGAATTTAATATTATTACAAGGTCATTTCAAAAGTATTACTTTTCAAAGTAAAGTAGCACTTATACGTTCCGACGTTGGACGTTTTCCCATTAAACCGTCGCAAAAATGAGAGGAGGCTTATGACCTTTTACTTTTGAGACGGTTTAATAGGCAAACACACGCCGCACTGACACGTGTCACGCAAACTTCACCTCTTCACCTTGTAATTACGGTAGTACTACTTATTACAGACGGTTTCAAAGTTTAGATTTTTGTCTAGGCGTTTATTTCTGCATTAAGCAGTACAGTTATAAAGAAATCTCATAATGTTCTCCAGACCGAATTTCAGTCATATCAGCCAGTCACAACTGAGACTAGCCATCTGTGCAGGACAGGGTTATAGAGAACGAGTGTGTGTGTGCGTGTGTGTGTGTGTGAGATTAGGTGCAAGACCAATGGCTTGTGCCTGATCTGAGCCTGATGATTGTGGTGAATCCTAACTGATTGTGGACCCTTAATGCGCAAACGTAACACTCATCTGTGTAACTATGTACTTCGCCCAGAAGAAGTGAAATTGCTCAAAGCTAAGTAACTCCTTCTATTCATTGAAGACATAGGGTTTAGCTGTGAACTATAGCCATAACACCGATCACAATAGATCTTTTAGGTCGCAGTCATACTGGTCTTTCTAGACTTGCGTAGCTGCTCGCACAAAAAAAAAAGGACAATGGCTTTTCGTGCTTTCCGATGCACGTGAGTGAAATACCGCAAATATAATGACTTCCAGGCTGCCATTGAGAATTTTTTGACGAAAAAACTCAATAACTGATTTAAGCCTGCCCCGGGATTCTTGCTAAGCAATCGTGTCTGCGACACCAAGCTAAGCTGCAGCTTTATTATTATTGAAGCACGAATAGGTCGGTTTGATCGAGGAAGTACCACGCTCTCACAGAATACCAGAGTAAAATAGCAGCTTAATGCTGCTGTTTTGTATAGTGAGGGTAGAGAACCGTATTCCCTTTTACTGGAAACGAGGCATTCCATCTTAGTCCTCATTGGTGACAACGCATCTGCATTTTGATTCTTAATCGAGGATATATGTAATACGAGGATAGATGTAGATGTCTGTAGGTAACAGCATCCACTTATCATCAGGTGGACTGTATGCTCGTTTGTACCCTTATACTATTAAAAAAAACCTAAACCAACGAGTTAGTCACTTATATAATATTATTATAATACTATCTTGTCAAATACTAATATATACTTTTATACGTGGTAGAGCCATGCTGCTGCTATATTGGAAGTATAGTTGTAGCACGACTGGGTCAGTTCGACCGGGGAAGGACCACGCTCTCACAGAATACCAACGTAAAATAGCAGCTTAACACTGCTGTGTTTCGCAAATGAGAATAGATGTAGATGTCTATGGGCCACAGTAACCACTTACCATCAGGTGGACTGTGTGCTCGTTTGTCACCCTATCCTATAAAAAAAAGAAATAAATACCGTTACCGTTACTGCTATAGGCTATAAAATCCACTGCTAACTATAGGTCTCCCACATATATTGATTCACAGGGGGGAAATTTATCATAGATGCTACGCTAGGCAGGCGGGGTGGTAGCCGCATTTTTTTTAAGTTGTTAATAGGAAGAAGCTTTTGCTAATCTCCTGGTTTGTTTCCCTCTGTCGCCTTTAACGATACCCCCGTGGGTAACAATGGGTTAGTTGGTATTCTTACACCGGCACTACGCGGATTTGAGGTTCATTAATTTGAGGCTCAATGAAATATAAATTTATAACCTTTTTTTCAGCCAGACTCACTCACAGAAACAGAGGTTAGAAATATCTGTGAAGATTTGATCAGAGGTATGTTTAGTAATCTATGCATTAAAAATAAATTTAATTAAAAAAAAATAGTATTTAACAGAATTCTTGTAGTCAAATTAAGAGAACTGGCTGAGACATTAAAGACTCCTGCACCGGTAACCATTGTAAGAAGAGGACCGCCCGGAAGACCTGGATCTGCCGGATCACCAGGTATGAATTTTTTACACCATAATATTTCACAAAATACTTCATATGACAAAACACGAAAATTAAGCATTTTGTTATAACATAAACTTCAATACTATATAACTATTGCACGCCTCATAACGCTAAGCGTTAGACGCACATTACACTGTAGGTTTTGCTGTCAGTTTTACAACAATCACGGTTGTGATTGACGAATAACCTATCGTGTAATGCGGTAATTGACGGTTGCATGAAATTGATTGACAAATATCTGGATATTTTGATTTTTACGTCAATCAACTATCAGTCACGAATTTTGATTGAACGTGTAATGACATTTCGTCAATCACGCGTCAGTGAACGCTTAGACAGCAATGGAGGCGGACGCAGAATATATTGAAGAGGCTGCTGCTCTACGCGCTCGCGCAGCCCGTCGCCACTCCCATCAAATGTGTTTCAGCCAGAAAAAGATTTTATTTTAAATTTTCAGTCTCTCCCCGAGTTGTGGGACACGAAAAACCCTGGGTAGGTTGGATGCCCCTGATACCAGCCACGCCCCTAATTCCAGCCTTTCCGCCTTTTTACTTCGTAAATAAGATTTCTAGTAGTCTTAACTACAAATATGGTCGGCTAAAAATTCTTCGTAATTAGAGGAAAGTATATTTCAAATATTACCTCACAGTTTTAAACCTAACAGTGTTAAATTAAAAATCAAAACATAAGCATATTTTACATTAGCTCATCTTTAGGCTTTTTGATTTGTATGAATGTGACTATAGACATAGTAATGCAGCTATTTTTGTTTAAATTTATAAGTTTTTTATTTTCTTTTGGTGGAAATTAATGGGGCTGTAATTAAATATACGAAATTTATGGAGTGCATAATGTCAGTCGCCCGACTGTTATTTGGTTTGACGTAAATAATAAGAAGTACCTTATTTCAACCACGTAATATAAATCAGGGCTGTCATAAACTAGAATAAATACCATTAATTTGAACTCACACAGAAAACCAACGTAGAATAACAGCTTAACGCTGCTGTGTGTCGTATGGTGAGTGCAGAGAACCGGAGACCCTTTTTACTGGCAAAGAGGCATTCCATCTTAGTCCTCACGGGTGACAACGCATCTGCATCTTGAGTCTATATTGAGGATAGATGTAGATGTCTATGGGTCATAGTAGCCACTTACCATCAGGTGGACTGTGTGCTCGTTTGTCACCCTATCCTATATAAAAAAAACAAACATAACTTATTTTAAAGTTAAGTAAGTTATAATCAATTCGTCTATATTTTAAAATTGGTGTTTGATTTAAAAGTTTAACAAATGATACGTACTTGCTTTCCAGACATTTGGTATATGTTAAGAACACCATACAATATCTAATTATTTTATGAGAAAGACAAAAACAAACAATAAATGTAATTAACTACAACTTAGTAATACTAATTTTATTATAACTTATGAACATAAAAAAGTCATAAAAAGGAATGTGGTTCATGACCATGCTTTGCGGCAGTCTATGGAGGATGATGTTCTGTAGTCGACTGAAGGGCTGAAATGATGATAAAGATTAAAAAAACATGGATGAGTAAATTATAAGAAATCGGTGTACTATAATACATACTTTTTATTATAATATTGTTTTAATTAACTGTTTAGTGTTAAAAGATAAAATGTAACTGCTTAAAGCTAAACCACAGTAAGGTTAGAAGTAAAACATTAAAATAAAATAATTGCTGTCGTCTATCTTAATACATATTTCATACTTGTGACATGCATGATTTAAAATTAAAAGTTGTTATGAATTTATTTCAGTGCCCCTAAAATTTACCTACAATAGGTACCTACCAAAAACTCAAAAGGCATAGCCCTATGCTATACTGGCATTAGATACACAAAAGGAAATTGAAATTGACACTAAAAGGCTGGTAATAGGGGCATCTACCCTAAACGAATAAATGTTAAAGTTAGCTTATTTTTCGTCCATAAATGCGTGTCAAATAAAGCCGCGTATCGATTATGCACTCCTAGAGGTCTAACATTTGCGCGCGTTAAATTAAAATCGGTAAAATGATATTAAATATTACAATTTTTCCTATTCGTTTTTTTTTCTTTTTCTTTTCAAGATATAAAATTATAATTAAATGGTGAATCGAAAATGAACTTAGTTTATAGGTACGTCCTTTCACTCCGAAAATTTGGGTTTGACTGACATCAGTCAGCATGAGCGTGTAATGTCGAAATTATTCTATCATACAAACGTCAATCATGATTGATCGAACTGATTGACGCTTGCCTAGGCGTGTAATGGGCGTCTTATTAGGTAGTGCATTATTCTCAAGACGTCAAGGTCAAGCAATTTTATTTTCTTAAAATGCTTCTATCATATACCCATATTGCAGTTTTGTAATAATATGAGTAGCCGTATATCAAGAAAACACTCGAATTAATCTTTTTTATGTTTTCTAAAAAATCATTTATTAGTTTTGTATGTGGTCACGATAACTAACTAAGATAAAAATTGACGTATCGAGACCTGGTTTTCTTTATTAGCTTCAGAAACTTCAGTCCCGCATTTCTTACAAAATACTTCTCCAATGCAAAGTTCTTTTATGTTATGGATGACTTACTTGATATCTTAAACAAAAACATAAAAATAATAAAATATGCCATGTGCTATGGTTATGAGAAGTTATAAATATTTAAGGAATTTCTGTAAATAATTTTAGTTTATCTTATGTTAAGTAATATTAACTCAAAACATTACAAAAAAGAGGATACCTACCAGAGTTTCTTTTGCCGTTTCATCTCCGGCTAGAGAAACTTCATATCGGAACGGTACTCCGTTTAGTAGATTAAAAAAAAACATTTGACATACGTACGTTGAAGAAATAAATATATTTCATTTCATTTACTTTTAACTTTATATTGACAGTCGCAATTAATAAGGACGTTCAATAAAAAAGAGAAGAGTTGATAAACTACGCAAGGAGTCCATGGAGTTAGTGTTTAGAATTTTCTTCGTTTAGCAGTGTACGATCGTGATGAATGATGATAATGATAATGATATTCCTATTATTATATCTTACGACATACACTGAAGAAAATGTAAGGCAATTTACCAGAGGCAGATTAAATGTCGACAGCGGTCTTATATTATAAATTATAACTACCCATTTTGCAACTTTAAACTATATTAAAATGTTTAATACAGTTTATAGTTGCAAAACAATTAGGACACCAGTACCTTTAACAGTTGGGCGTGAATGAAAATTATGATGAAAGAGTGAGGGCGATGTAGGAGTAATCAAATAGATGAATATTTTTTAGTTTTAAAGCTATGCGCGCGCCTCTTTTTAACCTTGCGCCCCTAGGCACGTGCCTAGTTTGCCTTAATTCCTTTAGTCTTAGTCCTTTAGTCGTAGTCTTAGTCCTTATGCCACTGCAATTTACCTATAATGGAATGATGTAGAACATAATGTATAATATATGAAAAAGTATCCTAGACCCACCGCCATGTCCCGAGAGTGTTGAAGTTGATAAATTATCTTAAGTCATTATTGTTATTATTGTCATCATAGTAATTACTCAAGATGATTTTCATCATCCTAGTCAATATCATCATCCTGAACAGGTAGATGTAAAACATAAAGAACTTTTAAAATGTAAATCGTTTCGAGCGTGGTCGTAAAGCTAAAGTTAAAGCTTTATCGAAGGGTAGAGACTTTTGCCTACAATTCAATTTATTTAAATGCGTAGGCGTATGGAATTTCTCGTGGCCTAATTTGAATCCGTGGATGTTGTACATAATAACTTAATATAGTACTGATCTTACATCATTGGTTAGAAGAGTAGGACTTTCTTTCAGTACAAATATTATGTTTGTCATAAATTAATCACCAGTCAAACGATGCGATTTCGGTTAAACCCTCTTCAATCTTTTGTCGTAGGACGGTAGAGAATCTATCACCCCATATCACATGAGGGTATGATAAAAATCGAATATGAAAAATATCAGAAAGATCTCACGGCCTCTGATAGATAGCGGCGTATCCATCTCTTATATTAAATACCCAGACTGACGACGGGTATAGATCCAGAGGTATTGTACGATACTAATGCCAAGCGTGAGCGTAAAATGCTTTCTTCTTATCAGCAGTTTGATGATGAAAAAGTATGATATCGAGACAGTCAAGGTATTATTTTTTGAAATTCACGTTTCCATATACCTGATCTATATGCATCATGTCAATTAGCTGTTTTTATAAAACTCAGGGTCACCAGGAGAACCTGGTGTACAAGGACCTCGAGGGTACCCAGGGGAATCTGGAGAACCTGGTAGGCCGGGCAGTCCAGGTCCGCATGGAGAAAAAGGCGATAAAGGAGAAAGAGGACGCGAGGGAGTTGGTATTCCCGGGCCGGAAGGACCAAGAGGGGTTCAAGGTATTGTAACGTTGCGTGATTGGGATTTCAATAATTTGATGCAGTTCAAATTTAACAAACATGAGAAAGCAAGACTTAGTTCAAATAATGATTATGGATGTTATGTTTTGAAAAGATTTCTATCGAAAGGTTAATCCGAAAGGACACAAGTACAACTCAATACACAGACAGACACAGGAACTTATGCCAATTGAAAGACTTTTCAGGAGCTTTCAAAACCGGCAAGGCATCTCCAATTCCCCTGGTGTTGCGGTTGTTCATGAGCGGCGGTAGTCACTTACCATCAGGTGAGCCGCGTGCTCGTTAGTAGTGTAGTTGTACCACTTCTAGACCACCTGAGTCAGACGTGGTTCAACGACGTTCGTCGACGCCCGATCCTAAAAAAAAAAAAAAAGGTTTTGGCATGCTCTGATCACGAATCCGCGGTCCATTTTTGTGTAGAATGCACGGTTCCGGAGATGTGTAGATCAATTAGCTAATATCTAATTGATATCCGGTAAGGGCCTCCACCGTCATTAGCGTCCCATTGTTCCTATTTCTATTGTTCTATTGTTCCTTAATCACCTTCATTGCAGCGTGTGCGTCGACTATATCAGTGCTATTGTGTTATAGTTCTTTGTTTATACAACGCTAATCTGAATCATCAATAAAACACATTACATAATTTTGTTACAATTTTTATTTATAAAATACAAAATCTTATTAATTACTATCTATAAAATAGGAGCGAAACATCTCATCCACTAAAATATCGTTGTACAATGTGTTCCTTGTAAATATACTCGTAAAACTATGTATTGAACATCCTTGAAACTTATATAGCAAATACATTAAGCAATATTCGCCACAAACTGAAGTCCACTCATTCTGAATCCTATCAACATTCCAGTTCCATCTTTTACAATTCCTTTTTAAAAACTCTAGATGATATCGTACAGGTGATCGTCCATATGAATCAAAATATTGACCGACGTCATTCGTATCGATATATAAAGCTACCCAATGTGACCCTGGTTTATCATCTGTATCCAAATTACATATTATATACGTTGGTACGTGGGTATACATAGGCAGTCTATTAGCTGCATAAACATTATTTTCTAGACTGGGGTGAATCTTTTTCAGATGTTGTTGTACATCTAGTGTATCCATGATATTACTGCTATTAGTAGATTATTACAGTACCTAGCTACTCAATGAATAACATAGGAATGGTCAATTATAGTGATTTCTACATATTAAATTGCATTTTTGTGATATACAAATCGTACTTGAGTCATTGATCACCAAACAAAACACAATACGAAGAAATGTTGAGATAGGCAACGGAAATGTGAGATAAACTGGTTGACGCATAAAGTAATTATCAACTCATTACGGAAATACTTTAGATTAGAATTTTTACGTACTGGTGGTATATAAGACCAACAAACGCAGTCATCGAGTTAGTGTACGGTCGTTTGGCTACAGTGGATCTATCAATAGTACATTTGTGTTACTTCAATACACCAAAGGCTATGGATGTAAGTGTTTATTCTATTGACTAAATTACTTTTTTTCTGTTATTTTCATGTGTGTGTATTATTTTATTTAAATATTGTGTATGTATATGATTAAGCCGTGGTAACTCAGATGGTTAGCGCTAGCTGTAAATTTCACAGTACGCGACCCGGGTTCGATCCCCGCCAGCACCAATTAAATTGTTAATAGCAATTTTAAGTGCTTATTACCACGTGCTTGGTGGTGAAGGAAAACATCGTGAGGAAACCTGCATGTCTGAGAAAATTTCGAAGGCATGTGAAGTTCACCAACACACATTGAGGGAGCGCGGCGGACATTTCCTTGCTCTAAAACCCTCTCAGAAATGAGAGGAGGCCTATGTTCAGCAGTGGACTTTAATAGGCTGTAACTTTAACTTTTTTAACTTTTATGATTAAGTGTTAACAAATTGATATTAACATGATAACTGTGTTGTTGCAGAAATCATTGAGCTTCGATGAAGATACCTATAAACAGTATTACTACTCGCCACTCTCCCCTCAAGAAGAGAATGATGACCTCGTCATTAATAATAACACATGCGATGGTGGAAAAAGAAAATCGCAATCGATTGATCATTTTTTTGAAGCTGAATCAAAAATAAAAAAGAGGAAGGGAAAACTTCAGTGAAGTGTGCACCAGTGCTTTTTTCTCCACAATCATGGAAGAGAATACGGAACTATTCAATAGCGAATTAAATCAGGAGTTGTCTAAAGTTTGTGAAGAAATGGAGAGGGGTCAACTGTTCGATTCGTCATACGATGATGAGTTGTATCATCACTGTGCGATGGTTGAAACACAGTTTAAGTATGTAAAATAAACATTCATTTCGATCATAATTTACATATTGTCTTATACAGTTTTTAATAAATTTAAACATTTTAGCAGTCAACCACTACAACTTGGAAGAGGAACGAAGCGAACGTGCAGCAAAGAATCCAAGATCATCAAAAAACCAACAACGGAAGCAGAAGCGCATACCTCTGCAGGGAACAGTATCAGTAACGATGATCAAGTGGAATGTCCAACGTGCCATATATTTATCAAGAAACGGTATTTAGCTAATCATTTTAAAAGTAATGTTCATAAAAATAATCTTTTAAATTCACATAATTCTTTATCAAACGTTAGTGTTATTGAATCTGCTTTTGGAAATAGGATTTTAACTTATAAAATCAAGAGTAGAGTAGATCGTTCGACATGGGTAAATTTTGAAACTCCTGAACTATTTTTAAATTCTATTAAAGATGATATTTTATTTTTATTACAAGAGTGTATTCATCAACACATAATTTTTAAGGTAAACTTCATATTGCATGCTGATTTTGTTCAACAAACTAAAGATATTCATGATACGTTCGATTTTCAAACGCTTAACTATATTATTTGTCAAGGAGATGACTTAAATATTTTTCTTTCATCTTTAAATGATACAATTACTACTAAAATTAGTGCTTTCGAAAAAAAAGATAGTGGATGGAGTCTAAAAAACATAAAATCTATAGACATGAATGTTAATAAATTTAACCCCCTACGCGGTACTTCATACATAGATCTTCCTCGTGACATAAAATTAAAAAAGGCTGTTATAAATGTAAAAAACAAGGATTATTTTTGTTTTAAATGGGCGTTACTCTCGGCGTTATATCCTGTAAACAAACACACCGATCGGGTATCATCGTACGTTAAACATGCAAATAAACTTAAATTTGATGGTATTTCCTTTCCGGTTAAAATTTCTGACATAGCAAAAGTAGAGAAATTAAATGATATTAGTATTAATGTTTTTGGGTTAGAATATAATAAAGAAAAACGATGTAATTCTATAGTAGGTCCATTATTTTTAACAAAGTGTCGTAAAGATAGACATATCAATTTATTATTTTTTTCCAAGGATACAAAAAATCATTATTGCTATATAAAAAATTTATCGCGGTTAGTTAGTAAACAAATTTCAAAAGACGGTCACATCATGTACATTTGTGAAGCATGTCTACTTCGTTTTCCATCTCAGGAAAGGTTAAATAACCATGAACAATACGATTGTGCTCACATTTGTACAGTATTACCAAACAGTGAAACTTTAAAAAAAAAGAATTGGTTTGGTCAACCTATTTCAAATGATAAAATTAAATTTGATAGTTATGAAAAAAAGTTAAAGATACCATTCGTAGTTTATGCTGATTTTGAAGCATTTTTAAAACCAATAGAATCATGTTCTAACGATCCTTCCAAACCTTTCACTCATAATATTCAGAAACATGAAGTACATAGTTTTGGATATTATATAAAATGTTCATATGATGATAAATTATCAAAATATGTAACATATTGCGGACCCAACTGTGCACAAGTGTTTATGGAAAGTTTATCTAACAATCTAAAAGAAATAAATAGACTTCAAAAATATCCACCACTTCCGCTAACAAATGAAGACAAAAACCAAATTTCAAATGCAACCATTTGTCATATTTGTGAAACTGAGTTGGCAAAACATTTTTATGATTTTGATTGGTACACTGGTAGTTTTATAGGTGTTGCTCATGAATCATGTTGTTCGAAGATCAGAACACCTAGTTATATACCAATATTTTTACACAACCTTAGTCACTATGATGCTCATTTTATTGTTCACGCGTTAAACTTTTGTGATGGTGAAGTCGAAGTTATCCCTCAAAATAAAGAAAAATATATATCCTTTTCCAAAAAATTAAAAGTGAATAACCACGAAATTATATTGAGATTCTTAGATTCATTTAAGTTTTTATCGTGTAAATTAGAAGAATTGGCCAAAAATCTCAGTAATGATCAATTTCAAGAATTACGTAGAAATTACCCTAATGATGAAGATTTCTTTCGTTTAAAACGGAAAGGTGTTTATCCATATGAACTTATGACTAATTATGATAGTTTAAGTCTAACATCGCTCCCTGAACAAAAATGTTTTTATAGTTCACTCACAGATTCACATATTTCAAATGATGATTACAATCATGCTAAAGATGTTTGGGAACATTTTGGGTGTTGTAATATGCTAGATTATTCAAACCTATATTTAAAAACAGACGTTTTACTTTTATCCGATGTATTTGAAAACTTTAGAAAGTTATGTATTAATACATATGATTTAGACCCTGTCCATTATTACACAGCACCCGGTTTAAGTTGGGATGCAATGTTAAAATATACAAAAATAGAATTAGAACTTTTAACAGATTATGAGAAAATTGCATTTATTAGATCAGGTATCAGAGGTGGTGTATCTCAATGTAGTATTCGTTATGCTAGAGCTAATAACAAATACATGGAGGATTATGATACAGGGAAACCAAATTCATATATCACATATTTTGATGCCAACAATTTATATGGTTGGGCTATGTCTCAATATCTTCCTACTGGTGGATTCGAATGGGTAAATCCAAATACAGAATTTAATGTGTCTAAGACATCAGACTTCG